AATTCCCCATACAAGAGCAACCAGGCAACCGCTAAACATCACCAAGTCTTCCTATTGGAGTTTGAGGGATTCACCCAGCTCAAATCAGCCTTTCTATTTCATAGGCAAAGCCAAGAATACGGTCTCCTTGCAAGGTGATGGCCAGCACGTGCGCCGTCCATTTCCCTGGCTGCAGCGGCCCCACGTGAGCGCTCCAGCGACCGGGAGCCACCGGCGCGGCCACGTCTGCAGCGAGTTGGTGGCCGTCGGAGGACACCAGCCACACGAGCACGTTGGTACCCTCCTCGCCCTTGGCCCGAGTTCGAGTGGCCTTGGGCGCGCTTCGCCCAGATCCGGCGCCGTCTCTCGACTTGGCGTTCACCACGGTGATTTCCATGACCTCTCCACGTTTCACCGACACCTTCGGCCACTTGACTTTCAGGTGCGAGCTGGGCAGCTCCGGTAGGCGCAGCTCGAGGCTCTCCGCGCAACATCCGCGCTTGTTGGGCGCCGCCTTAGCCTTCGCCCAGGCTTTCCGTCCCTCGCGCAGCACCGCGGCCCGGGCGCTGCCGTAGCGCAGGGCGTAGGTTGAGGCCAGCACCACCAGGACTGCGAAAGCCAGGAAGGCGCAGCGGAGGCACTGCATGGCGCTAAAAGCATGATATTCTCCGAAATCTTCAAGGATCTTTTTGAAACCATCACAGGGTTCTCCGCGTCTCTCCCCCTGCTATGGCTTGGAATGATTTTGGAAGGCATGTTGATGCAGTTGTCTTGCTGAAAATGGCTCCTTACCTGCATGGCAGTTGGCCATTCTCACTTTACAACCGTTTAGCACTCGTGGCCTTGGTATGTCTTGTATTTTAGGCCTGGCCAGTCATGGATCTATATAGATTTAATGGGCTGAATCCCAAACATTATAACCATCCAATTTTACGAAGGTGTTTCTTCACTACAACACCTCTCGGGTCCTCCGAAGTCTGTTGATTGGTCCAACTTTCTAGGCGAGTGCATTACTTAGGCGCACTATATGGTTAGTTCGACTATGGTTGGATGAATAGAGAGTGGAGTAGGATGTAGGATGTGTTTGTCTTCGCCTCAGAGCCAGTCCGACCACAATGACTTGACCACATGCCGGCAGCATGGCCACCCTGCCCCGCCCAACCTATGCCTCCGGTGGGCTGGCCCAGCTAAAATGCAAGCAAAACCTTGGGCAAGGTGAATGAGTAGCCGCGAGTGGCTCTGAACATGTATGTTTCAAGGGATTGATATGATGATATGATGATCGATCTGGTTGGTTATCTTCAGATTTCCTCTGAACGCTGGTGTGTTTCTTGGAGACGCTAAACCGTCTGACAGTCTGTTGAGTTCTCCCAGTCTGAGCCGCCGAACTCACTCTCAGTCTGCAGTCGCCAGTCATGCGGAAGACGACTGAATTCGCGCCAAGCATGTGTCGCTGTGAAAAAAAAACCACTCCCAAACACTCCATGGGACTGGTATATTTATATACATTGGGGTGGTTTTGGGGGTCAATGTAGGCATATATGGCATACATGGAGTGTTTGGGACTGGTTGAAACATATTTAGTCTTTAGTCCTCGCCCAAATGCATGTATGTGAGACGAGTCAGTCAGCTTGAGGCTGAGACGAGCTGCTCGGAGTTTGTGTATATAGACGTTTGCAACTGCACTGCACATTGATCGCAAATAACTGTCCTTGATCTACTCAGGCTTGAAAACTCTGGCAACAAAAAGTGGACATGCTGAATATACACAATCTTGCTATGAGCAGCAGGTTCATAATCCTTCTACCCAACTTGTCCTATCAATACACGTTTAGAGGATTTGAACTTGGTTGAAGAGCAAGTTGAGTGCAACTGCTGTTTGGCCATCCAAAACCACAAGCGAGGCTCATCCAACAACCACTGCAAAGAAAACCCAACGACCAATCGGCGGAGTGCGGTGTGGAATGTGACGGAGTAACCAACTTGCCGAACGCATCCAGGAGTCCTGCCGAGTGCTGTGGTAGAAGCTGTACAAATAGGCTTGATCCATAAATCCGGAGTCGTCCCAAACGAGCTGAGATTCTCAGCCAATTCACACCAAAAGTCCACAAAAAGAACAACACCACTGACCAAGGCCACCAACCCACACCAACCCACACTCTTCTCCCTGCCAGTTGGATCAGCTGGGTTTCCCGGTCATTCACTTCTCCCTCGTCTCCGCCGCGAGCCGTTGCCGCCCCCCCTGGCGTGGTCGAGCGCCCGAAAGGCGCAAAAAGACTTCAATGCTCACGCTGACTCCCCCATGCATTAGGGGGGATCAGAATCAGCTGTGTTTTGGTCTTCAATTCCAACTTTTCCTGGATGACTTCCCAGCAAGCAGTGCTTAGCACGGTTTTAGGCTCTCTCTTTTTTCCGCCTGTTAAGCAAAGCCTTTCTTGCTCTTCTTAACCGTCACTGGTTGAGCAGATTTCGCCCCCAGCTTCCGAGTGTAGCAGAAGCGGAACTTGAAGCCTGTCACGGTGGCGGAATGTAGTTGGGGGTGGCTGTGGCACAAACCTATGAACACCAGAGCAAACTGCGGCTGCCCTGGAGGCCCTACGCTACCCTTCCCAGGAGCATCTTTTTTTTGGGGGGGGCAGGCCTTGACTAAGTGATGAGTTATTGAGAGTTATTTAATCTCCAAGAGGTTCGCAATGGTTCGCAGATCCCAAGATCCAGCATAATGATCAAGGCATTTCATTTCAATCGGTGTTCAATCGGACTGTTGCTTGTATCCTGCTCATCTTCGTGGGGTTCCCCCATGTAACCCAAATCCCAACGAAAACGGTGGTTGAGGTAAGCAACTGCGAAAACGGTGACCCATATATTCCATCTATGTGTCCCAAATCCGAGGAAGCAACTACGAAAACGGTAAACAGTTTGAGATCAAAAGTCGGGACACCTTAGGCCCCAACAATCGCAACCTGTCACAGCACATGTTGTGGGTGATGATGTGGGCCTAGTATTATAAAAAACTTTCATTGGAAAGAACCTGTTTTCAAAATTTAAAAAAAGTCAAAAAAAAGTCAAAAAAAAGTCAATCCCAAAAGTCAAAGTCAAAAAAAAGTCAAATTGAAAAGTCAAAAAAAAGTCAAAAAAAGTCAAAAAAAGTCAACAAAAATCAACAGTCAACAAAAAGTCAAAAAAAACAAGTCAAACAAAAACTTTGCATAGGTAAACAAGTCAAGGAAAAGCTTGTAACAAGGCAAATTGCAGCCTTTTTGCTTATGGCTT